TTGTGACCCTTCTCAGGTGTGTTATCAATTGCAAAGAAAATGCGGAACAACAAAATATGAAAAATTAGGAGCAGTTTGTCAGAAAAGCCAGGTTTTTTGGTTTACAGGTTTTTTGGAAATGTCAGCACACCAGGAGCCATAATTTTACAGAATGCTTTAGACTGTCATTCCCTAAAAATCCAGTAAGGTATTCTGTGATAATTTGATCATTTCGTTTTTTTGATGTTCGCAAATGTTGTATCTTCCCTTTATTGGTAATGGACACCATTTGCAAAAAAAAAAAATGTGTCTAAGACCAAAAAGAAAAAGTCTCCGGTTTCTGGTATGGAGCTTGTTCAAAAAGTGGTGCGGCGACGCGGCTTTTTTTTTTTTTTTACCCGACTTTTTTGCTTCAAATGTCGGCTGATGACTGCAAATGGTGCCCGACTAAAGTGCAAATATATGGGAGTCCAGAGAGGCCACATAAAGCTTATTCTCGATCATAACCCCATCTAAAAACACGTTGAAATTGCGCAGCAGCAGAATTCCAGTCAAACCAGTGAGTTTGGCGGTTTTGAGACATCATCTTTCATTGAAAAAAAAACATTACTGGTTTTAGATCGTTTCAAAAATATTTTGCTTGACTTATTTCACGGTGTCGATATCGTTCCCGATTTAGCTGGTTCCCATCTTTATACCCTTCCAGTTTTTATCATTATTTGGCGGGAACCAGCCTATGTGCTAATAGGGAGCAAGATTTTTTAAGGCGGCAAAACACTTGCGGTCAATGGGGCGTCGTCGCCGGAAAAAAATAGTTTGGCATATGTTTCATGCGCTCTCGATCACCATCGATGTGAAAGAAGTAATATGGAAGGGGTTATAAATGTATGATAGTTTTGACGTCAAAATGTTGTTGAGATGCATTTTTGATGAGACAAAAGGCAGTATGGACTTGTTTTTAAGGCCAAAAAAAATAAGTCGGTCTCTGGTTAGCGCGCGCGTTGATTTTAATCATGCGCGTCAATCTTTTTTTTTCCAAAAATGTTCCACTGTAGCTCCAACAGCGCCCTCTATTGCCGCACCTCCTCAATTTTTTTTTATCAAAGAGCACCAAGGAATGGGAAATTGCGCCAAGGCAAATGATCGAGAGCACCAAGGCAAATTATGGAGGACACCAATGTACATGAGGACACCAAAAAAGCCAAATAGTACCCCACCTTGTCTGTACAATCCAAGCTTGAAGAAAAAAAAAAGCAAAAAAAAAAAAAAAAAAGCCGCGTCCCCGCGTCAATTCCGGAACTTCGGTCTGACCAGAGACCGAATATTTTTTTTCTTTGGCCTAATATACAAAATTTAACTTCACTCTCATTTCAAAGTTTGCCCTTCGAGCACTTGAAAACTATGATTTCTCATTCGCGCTGTTCTAAGTAGCAGCAGTGTGATGTGGCTGGGTTTCTTTTGGCATTGGACATCCTACTAAGGGCCTCTAAAACAGGTTTCTTATGCACGAAGACTATTAACAGATACTCCCGCAGCAATTGTGTTGACGTTCTTATTTACTGCCGAACCCGAACCAAGCCAATGTTCCGATAAAAATAGCCGAACCCAACCCGAACCCAAACCAAGTGAAGGTTCTTTACCAGCACTAGAAATTTCACTTCTTCAGCCAGATCGTAAGCAAATCTAAGTACCTCGATCTTAATCCTCAATCTCTACTTGTATCTCTGGTGGCGTATCTATATATATAAATCTGATGTTTTTGTTGGGTCGTTAGTTGAATGAGAGACGATGCATGACGATCATGAATGTTCGTGTTGCATGGATTTATGGTCGGAGGCGTGAAGTCAGTTCAGATATTTATTGTTGATCAAAAGTCACATCATGTGTCACGTTTTTAATTGTCCTTTCTCTCGCTCTTTTTCTTCTCTCTATTTTTTTTTCGGTCGAGGTGAAGAGATCTATATGCGCAAAGACAAGCTCTTAATCTCAGCAAACCCGGATGAATCTTTAGTCTACATTCATGACATGGTGCATTTATCAATCTGGGCCACAAAATGTTGTTGAATTTGTGTTCCTTCAACACCTTCACCATTTACTCAAAATAGAGAAAAATATTGCAGTGTTGTTTTTTTAATTCTTGTTAAACCATGCAACAAAACTATTGAAACCATTGTAGATATGTTAATTCTCATGTCTAGCATTTCTGTATCATTTTTATGTCTTTGAACAGTGTAAAAACCGACGGTTGTCGGAATTGTTTTTAAAAGTGGCGGTCATATTGAAAATAGATAAAAAGTCCCAAATAAAAAGTCCCACATCCTCACTGTTTTCAAAAAACCTGGATGCTAAACATGTTTTTTTTTTTTACTTGGCCTTATCTTTAAGTTACATGTAAACTATAGTGTACTTCATTGGTTCCAAGAAATGTATAAATTTAATTGGTTGTAGTTTTACGTTTTATTACATAACGTGTTTGATGGTTCTGGTTGCAAATAACAAAACCTGTAAAACACCACAAGCCGAGCCAATAAGGGGCCATGAGATGAATTTTTCTTGGGAACACATTTTGTGCAACTTTCACACTCCTCTTAAATGTATGAAAACTACATGTATTTGGCATACCTTTTTGGTTAATGTTATTGAAAAGTGCACTTTTTTTAAATATTTGAATTTTCCATGCTTTTCCGGACAACTGAGGGTGCTGTTGCTGTGATGTCATTTCAGGAAGACACTGTTCAGTTTAGGGGTTTTCTGTTCAACTTGTGAACCCAACAATTTGCTCATTGAAAAAATTTGTGAGAGAAGTTAGCTCAATGGCTTACTGCCATGTACTGACACAAAAACGAATCACCAAAGAAAAGAAAATCCACCACAGCAAAATGACCAAATTTCTGGCAACTTTTGGTGATGAAATACCGGTAGCTGTAACATTGAGGTTTCTGTCTGAAATGACATCACACTTTTGCTCATGAATATGTAAATTGGCATTAACATAAAAACCAAAAAGGCACCAAAATACCCTTGAAAATGGCAAAACGAAATTAAAAATAAGGTCAAATGAAACACTGTGCAGTTTCAAGGATTGCACTTAATAAAAAAAAAGTACATGGCATTGCCCTTTAAGACCTGAAAATGGGGATTGAGTTCCAAATGGTAATATTAAATTGCCAAAATACATGTAAGCATACATGAAATTCATAAAAAAAAATTGATGAATGTGCCACTTGCATGCACATTATTCAGCAGAAGTTTCTCTGCCGTGTTTACCATAACCCGACCAACTCAAAACATTTTTTTTGGCCTTCGTCATGTTTGTACAATTGTAATATTGTCCATTGAATTTGTACCGTACATCCTGGTGTACATGTTCCAAAACAACATGTTTGCAGATTTGGATCACATCGTATTTGGATCACATCGTGCTTGCAAAGTTGCACAGTGTTTTGATTGTACCACAGGGGAAAAAATACATTATTACTCGGACTTGGGCAAAGGAACGAAGCATTTTTACAACCAAGTGGCCATTATTATAGTGACCATAACGCAGTTTTCGAGTATTATCATTGCTGTAATGCAAAAAAAAAAAATTTATATCACGATTGGGTAAACATTGAACTACCATGCCGAAGGTACCGCGATTGAATCCATTGTTTCAGATATTTAGTTTTTCCCTTTTTATTTTATTTAAATAGTTTTCCTTACATGTACTTTATGGTATTTAAGTCAAATCCTACTTTTTATTGAAGTACATGTAACTTCATTTTTCCCCCTAGTGATCCGTGGTTTTGGAGCGTTTTTTTTTATCAAATGGAAATAAAGTCTGTGAACGGTGCGGTTGATAGTCTGGTTCCGAGACCAACAAGACCCTGACGTCGCATATTGTCATGTTGTCAGGTCAGAAAACTGCCAGAACGATAGACACAGTGTTAAAAGCCAGAATGTAGCTAATGTTGGGAATGAGGTATTGAGGTAATCTAACCCAAGATAAAATCAGTGATTAATTTTTTCCCCTGCTCAACTGCAAATTTCCATACACCTCTAGTGTAATGGGTAAGTGTTAATTTCCCACACCTGATATAGGATAACACTTGAACATGTAACTGGGAGCATGGTGACTCACACCTTAATGTGTCTGTCCAAAATGTTAAGTGGTTGTGAATGTGAGAATGACGGTGGGAGAGAGAGAAAACAAGAGACACCTAGTGATGTGGAACATGAACTCAGTATTCAGGTTATCCTCAGAGGCATGCACATGATTTAGGATCATTTGCATTTAGTAACCTACTAAATTGTTATCAACACCCTTACTTGGATTAAACGTAGAGTAGATCATTTGCAGCTATCCAAAAAGTAACTGACAAAATCGTTGTTGAAAAGCATACTTGTTTTAAAGATAGAAATGGCACTGAACTGCCTTTGAAATTATTCTTTCTGGCATGCTGTTGTTTTGAAGAAAACATAAAAGCAGGTCATTTTCAAAGATGATTCTATTTATGCATTTCATATTTATGCACGGTAGTTCGTTTTTAGCTCGGCGAAGCCGTGAATGGGTGCAATCAGCTGAATGAGATCGTGTCCCGGATGCTGATTTCGGGCACAATTCAAAACATGACTCGGCAACTTTTAAATTGAAATCAAGATCCTAGAATGTTTTGTTTTTTCGGAATATTCACTGAGCTAAAACTTCATAGTTGTCAAGCACCCTTCTTTAAATTTTGAGCACTTTTGTTGCTTCATACAAAAAAAAATGTACAAATGACAAATGATTACTACCTTCGGCATATCTGTGTCCAGACTCCAACCGGTCTTAAACATAATGTTTAAAACCGGTCAAGCACATGTTTATTCCCTTATTAATATCCAAGGACCAGTTTTTTATACGCCCTGTGCATGTATATTAAATCATCAGTTGCTTACTGTGTTTTACATAAAACGAGGTATGTAGGTCAAGACAATATGGATTACGAGATGCTAATCCAAATTTTAAAATATCTTATCTGGTTTTTTTTTCTTCCCACTAGATTGACCTTGAGCCGTCTGGGAAAGTCCATGTTGTCATTGAACTCAAGGGATCATCTGAAGGTATTACACTGATTCCTATTAATTCTTTGATGTACACTTTATGAATGTATTGTAATCGTCTTATATCAATCTGTTTGTGGATGGGCAAATGTCATTTTGCTAACAAAACACCTCTGAAAATCTGTTGTTTGAAACCTTTTCAAACATGTACATTGTACAGGCTGTTGAATACACAAAGGAAATTTTACTTATTTAAAGATGTATGCCTCATGCTTTTCAAAAAATGATTATCTTTTCTCCTTACAAATATTCAATTTGTACATTGTTGTAACGAAAGAACTACAATGTACTTCATTCCAATTTTGGGTGTTTGCAAATTGCAACCCCCTGAAAAAAAGGCTTTCATTTTGCACACAAAATAAACCCGCTCTGCGAGACCCAAATTATTGTCATCATTCGAAATCTTGGGTAGAAGGAATTAAATAACTAAAACGTCGGTGGATTTTTTTGGTTTGATGTCTCATTCAAAAGTGAAGAACTTTTATTTTGCTAGAAAAGTAGCACTTGCAATAAAACAAATCAACTTTTTTTAATACATCTGAATATTTGGCCAAACACAGTTTCGAGTAATTGAATTTAATCAATTATTCATATATGGACAGCCCTACCAGAGACCATGGAGCAAATTGGGGGATGTTCCAGTTGTTGTCGTCATGAGCTTGTGTCACACACAAAAAGAAGGCTTAATTTTGAAGTTTAGTGTTGAATATCCGGTTTCCAGAATCCATACCGAATAGTGGAATTCAAACTGAATTTCAAAAAAATCCAGGTTGGAGTTGGTTGTTTTGCTCTATCAGAAAGTGTGTGTTACTGTTAGAATCTGCAAAATGGGTTTCGGGTAACTAATTAAACCCCAGAATAGGATGAGGTACATGTATTGTCAATTTTGTTGGGGTATCGGGTATGGGGTACCGGGGGATCTTTCCCAGGTCTCTCCGAATGGGACACCTTCATCAACCTTGTCCAGTACATACATGTACCGGTACAGTATGTCAACCTCTTTGAGATCTCACATAGAACCGGCAATTGTATGGTGTACACGTCAATGTAAAAGATCCGAGACTAATCAGTGAGACTTTAGACTCGGACATGTGCCTGTACGTGACTCGTGACTCAAACTCCTCATGGAAGACGCGGGACTTGAGCTTTGATTCTTTGGATTAGCTCCAGCATTACTTGTCACGGGGTAATTTAGTTTTATCGCCCCATCGCAGACAGTGGGAAAAAATCCCTCCAACATTGGACTTCAGGCATAGGTACATGTAACTTGTACATAACATGCATACATCACTGTGCTGGAAACATGGCTGATGGTGAAATTGTATTGTGAGTGCTTCGGGCTGCTCACTAATGTGCATGCATGCATACATGCTATTAATGTATGCAGTGTTCCCTTAATATCATTAATATGCTTGTATGACTAGACGCCGCATATGTATGTGACTTTACATTTAGAACAGCTGTTAGCGTACATACATGTGCAGGTAGAAATGTTAAATACACATACCAGTATATTGAAGAAAATATACCCCTTTAATGTGACGTCACATGACATATGATTTTCATCTAAAGCCTGGTTCATACTTCATGCGAATGGGAATGCGAAGCGAATTTGACGTCATGGCATGTTCGCTGCGAAATTCGCCCGAGTTGAAATATGTTCAACTTTAACGAATTCGCAGCGCGAATACTTGCCATGACGTCACAAATTCGCATTCGCTTTCGCACCGAGTATGAACCGGGCTTATCATATCCCGGTATGGTACATATCAAGTTACAACCAAATAGGACATACCGGTATCATTCTTATATAGGACTTAGAAAAATGCCCCTTTAATGTGACGTCATATGACTTGTGATGACGTCAATCATGACATCACTTCATATACACCCCACACCCAATGCATGTACGTGTATCTGCCTGATGACACTCAGACAGCGAATGCAGGGAAACGTTAACTCGTACCAAGTCAAATCGTACTCATCATTTCGTACCCAGGTTAACTCGTACCTACATGTAAGTCATGTCATACACTACAAGAAAATAGCCATCATTTTTCAAAACTTTGGGATGGAAACACCCCAAAAAGATATATTGCAGTGTGATTTTCCGCATTTCCCAAGCCGGGCCGGTGATAGAAACAATAGTTCTCTTTTGAAATATCAATAAAGTTGATAATAAAAAACTTGTTAGCAAATGTTTCCTTTTTGATGTTTCAGCCTAAAAAGTAGATTTTGTTTATTACATTACTTTTAACAATACCAAAGTTAAAAACTTTTAATTAGACACTGGCCAAAAACATGTATAACCTCCCACATTCAATTATAGGAAAGAAATGTGAAGTGCGCCTGTCGCATGTCAATCCAATTTACAGCAAAAAAAAAAACATTAAAAGATCCGCATCCGAACAACTTCGTCCTCAGGGATATTTAATTGGCAACCTTGTTTTGAAGAGGCGTTAGGTAGGCCTACTGTACTTGTTTTGGGAGCATTCTGTTTAGTCTGGTTCCCTGACCTGACAATTCCCTGACGCCCTGATGTCTAAGTTGTCTAAATATTTAATTGATGTCATCGTGACATCATCACACGTAATGTGACGACGTCACGATGACTTCATGATGAAATCCATGTACAGTTATACCGCTATGTTTCATGTACCGGAAGTTCTTTCTGATGTTAATGTACCGGTACACACAAAATCATGATGTGATTAAAATCTTCTACCGGTAGGCTCTGCTGAAAAAATCCCTGCAAAATGTACAAATGTATATGTTTTCATTTGGAAAACTGCATGAATTTTTTTTTTTTTCATGGCTGTGATGTGACATGAATGATCAAATGTGCAGCTACTGCATCCCGGGACCTCCTGATGACATTTAGATACAGTAGTTTGGCATTTGGATCCAACCAGAATGGGGAAGAACAAGTCAGCAGTTTTATTTTTTCTTTGGGTTTTTTGGTTGAGTGTACATGTAGTTGTGTGTATCTGTAAATGCTCCTTCATGTTGACATGAAAATTTGACAAATTTTCAGAAGCTAATTTGGTACCAGATTATGGGCTCTGGGTGCGAACAAAAGAGGGCGTTTTTACCACTTTCGAGAACCCCATGTGTGTGTACTGTTCGCGCGCGTATAGCGCGAAAGTACGCAGGACTGTTTTTTATTCTGAAAACTGTGCACAAAGCCATAGTGTCTTCGTGTAAGCGTCAGGCATTGTCAGCTACCCCGGTAGTGTTCAAATGTCTCTCCCAGTGGTCTCTCCCAACTCTCCCTTTCTTACCGTTGAGGGGGTACTTGTGCATGGAGCCCAAATTCGGGATAACCATGGCTACCATGGCAGCTGATGATTTTTAACCCGGTAACATGCACAGAATATTTTTGAAATGATGTTAAAGGGAATATATAACATTTGCAAACTACAGTACGAAAAACAAAACTACCAAATATTTACAAAATATCTTACTAGGATGTTGGTAAATGACGGTCTACAGCATCCTGTAAGATTATGGCACCTGGTGTGAAGTCATTTTATAGAAAAGTGCTATTTTGTGTAAATTTCCAATGGTGGTCGGCCGAACACCGTTGGAAAAAACTAACTATTTTTTAACTACATGTATACTGCTCCAAATGTACCATTTTTTCAGTGCAAATTTTGTTTGCTATTGGTTACATGTTCATGAATGGGTGCAGGCCAGCGAGACTGTTACACTTACTTTACAATTTTCCAGCATATATAAATTGATCAATTTCATCTTTGGTGGAGTCAGGGAACCAGACTATTTGAACATATTTGGTTTTTCTTGGTTTTTCCAGCATTTTCAAACACAAAACTTCAAACTTGTCAATGTAACAACATTTGATCTATTATACCGGCACTAAACCCTCAAATAGTCCATTTCTGAAAATTACAGCAAAAGCCAATGATGTACATTCCCTTTAAATATATTTAGTTTTTTAAACACAGAATCACGGTGTTTCCATACATGTTGTACCCCAATCGTCCAAACTTGATTGGTCCGACTTGTACCGGTACTGATACACAATGATGTGTACCGTACATGTACATTAAAGGGAATGTACAACATTGGCTTTTGCTGCAATTTTCAGAAATAAGTGCATTTGGAGATTTATATGTTTTAGCAAAACATGTATTGTTAAACTGACTTGCTTCACGTTTTTGGCTTGTAGATTCTGGAAAAACCAAGAAAACCAATTATATTCTTGTAGTCTGGTTCCCTGACCCCACTTAAGATGAAATGGAGCAATTTATAGACTTTGGGGAATTGTATGGCCAGAGTATCAATTTAGCTGGCTTGTACCCGTTCACAGGGGTGTAATCAATTGCACAGAAAATGTGGAATAACTAAATATAAGAAATATGGAGTAGTTTTTGAAAATAGCCAGTTTTCTCCAGCGCTGGTTGGCTGACCAGCGTTGGAAAACTATAATGTTTCTTGAAAATGTCAGTACACCAGGAGCCACAATTTTACAGGATGCTTTAGACTGTCATTCCCTAACAATCCAGTAAGGTATTTTGTGATAATTGGATCATTTCGTTTTTTGATGTTTGCAAATTTTGCATCTTCCCTTTAAAGGAATCCAATACATGCCAAGTCTTTTTCTCCCCAGTCTTTTTCTCAAGAGATCTTTTGCTTTCTAGCGGTCCTTTTTCTGTTGTTGTGCACTTTAATAATCAGAACAATGAACTGTTGAGATGACTTTCTTTCCTTTTCCTGAAAATTGTCAAAACTTGACTCATTACGCCTTCTAACATTGACTTTGATGCCATAAGTCATTACGTTATGATGATATGTACAGTACATTAAATGACACAAAGCAAAATTTTCTGTAACATTTTTTACATAAATTTGCAAAGTTGGTTGTTTTTCGGCGAACTGCCAACCTCATTTCCTTGTTTCTCCAAATGGGCACAAATTCATTGATGCATAAATTCTGCCAAATTAAAATAATTCTGCATAAAATTTGAAAATTTGTTGGG